CCACCACCACCACCGCCCGGCTTGTTTTGCTTTTAACTCCAAGCATAACCCTTCCCCTCTGTGGGCCTTATTTACTTCGTCTGTTAAGTAAGAGGACCACACATGAGTCTGTTATGCGCCACCAAGGCCGTTTTTTTGCAATGTGTGCCGAGCATTTTGTTTATTTGCTTCCTTAGAATGTTAAATTTGGGCTTTTTCCAACTTCGTTGTCACCACAAATGGCTGTAAGCGATAATATCTGCATAATCACAGCTTTGAGGAACTAGTTCCATATTTCTAAATGCACATTAAATTCATGGAATTCAAGGCCTTTAAAAGTGCCTCCATACACATATAGAATAATAGTTACTCATATTTAGATGAAGCTTAGTGTCGTCCATGGCTAGCCTGAGCTCTTCGCTTGCATTAGTTCATACAAGCCTCAGCATGCCCAGTTCCCCCCTCATTTTGCAGATGGGGATTTGTGGCAGAAGGAGGTTAAGAACTTTTGCATATTTGTGCTGTTCCTAAGTGGCAGAGCTGGGATCCAAACCTAGCCAGGCTATAACCACACTTAACCAAGGGACTGGAAGACACAGCTGTCCCTTCTGGCCCTACATCCTCTGATTGTGCTTTTCTGTGGGGCACTTTTCTGAGCCCCTAAGAGTGTACTTACATGCCTACTCTGCTGAATAGCTTCCTATCCAGGAGAGTCTGCTTAGATCGTGATTTTTTTTCTTTTAGTCTTTTTACTGTCCTTTCATTACAATTACATAAAATTGCTCACTTTGCCACAAATTCAGAAGTCAAATTTCAGTGCATTCTCAGAAACTGTCTTATCTAATCGTCCTGTGGGTTCCATCCATTCTTGGCTACTAAAGGGAATATGAAGTCACCACATTCAATGGAATCAGTGTGCCCTTAGAATTTTACAATTTATGAGCTACTAACACTAAGGCATCCCTTCCTGCCCCCCTGATGCTGGCCATTCAGCTCCCAGATAAAAATTTCTAATAGGGTAAGCAGATTATTCCCACTATTGGGATTTCCATTCATTGGCAAGTATACTCAACTTTCTTTAGCGAGTCAAATATGTCACATGTGAAGTAATTTCTTTTTCAAGACACACACACACACACACACACACACATATAAATATATTAGATAACATTAAGTTTTGGTGAAAGCCATCTACTTCACAGTAGAAGGCAATTTAGAAAACTGAAATTAAATATTGACTATAATCTCAGAGATCCATCACTATTAATAGTGATTTTTTAACAACATTTTGCTTTCATTTTTCATCTCAATGTGAATGTATATGTATCTGCTAGTGTTTTACATATATAAGTTCCAAATTAACTTTGCATTTGTCACATGTTCGTATTTTCTGTGTGTAATAAGAATCCTTCTGGTATCACATACAGATGAATGAAATTTCAACTATGTTTCAGAACACCAGATATCACAAAGGTAAGATTCTTTTTTACTGACAAGAATGAGTAGCAAAGACCAAACTTCTCCCCCTTCCTAAAATAAGAATATTAATATAAAATGTGTGAATTGATTTGCACATTAGGAAATGAGAGCCAGAAATCTCTGAGAAATAGTAAACAATCCAATTTCTACAGATGCCCCAGTTTATTGACCAGAGAGATTTTTGTAAGGCTGTAGTGAAGGAAGAAGGAATTCAGGTAGAGTACAAGACTATCTGACTTGCGGAGACAGACCTGAGAGTCTGGGAAGATCAAGGTCCACAGAGTACAGACAGGTATGTAAATGTGACAGATACAGATGAAACCTCAAAGATACATAGAAGCCAGTTTAGTGTGGCTGATATATTCTGCATCTTAATAAACTTATCTGGGGGGTCAGAGAACAGAACAGCCACTAGATTAGACACAGAGGCCAGAAAATGGTGGCACACTCACCTTTAATCCTATCACTTGGGAGTCAGAGATCCAGATGGATCTCTGCCAGTTCAAGGCCACACTGGGAACAAAGCCAATCCAGGTAGCACACGCCTTTAATCCCAGCACTTGAGATCTCATGTCTTTTCTTGGGAAGGACACACACCTTTAATCTCAGGAAGTGATGGCAGGAAGCAGAAAGTTATATAAGGTGTGAGGACCAGGAACTAGAGGCTTTTTAGCAGCAGTTCAGCAGAGACACTTTTGGGTGAGGACTCAGAGGCTTCCAGTCTGAGGAAACAGGATCAACTGAGGAGTTGGCGAGGTGAGGTTGGCGGTGGCTTGTTCTGCTTCTTTAAACTTCCAGCACTCACCCAATACCCAGCTCCAGGTTTTTTTAATAAGACCTTTTAAAATTCATGTTACAGTTTAGAATCTTGTCAGTTGTATTTAAACAACTGTAGTAAGTTTTTCCTAGGGTCTATGACCTCCTCATCCACAGGTTTTTGATAGGGTTTACAGAAGAAGCCATGAATTCCCTCCTGTGGAGTAGGTCTCAAGTCCAATCAGAGAATGGTTGGTTATTCCCATATCACTCATGCCTTTATTGCACCAGTGGCCATGTCTTGCCTGGCCACTGTTTCAGTATTCTCGTTTGTAGGTTCATAGCTGAGTAAGATCTAAACGCTTTTTTTCTTCCGGATGCCTGCATAATACTATAAAAGCTAGTAAGAGGGAGGAGGTTTCCAGCTCAGCTTCATCTTGATTTCTCTATATGTTGTGATGACAGTGTGTAGTGTTTTCAGCAATAGGGCCTTATCAACGAGTTCTCCTGAGCACTAAGGGGAATGGCAAGAGCCTGTATTTTTGGAAGCTTCTCTTGGCAATGAACTATGGGAGGTGCTGAGAATAAGTGACAGCTGAGCTCTCACCCTTAAACAGGACATTGATATCACTCCTTCTAAGGCTCAGGGACTATTACAGAAGAGGAGGAAGAAAGAATGAAAGAGCCAGAGACTCTTCTGGGCATGGCATAACCATTGCAATCATCATCTCAAAGCAGCTGCATCTGCCTGAACTGGGCTTTTACAAGACTGGGCCCATCATCAGTCAGTCATGGATCAGGTCAGAGGGAGATAGATACACAGGACCACACCACACCCTGCCAAACTATTGGCTACTGGTGGATTCTGGGAGAAAGGCAGTCATGGTCTTCACTTGCGTTCCTATAGCTGTGTCTACTGGGTTCTAAAGGATAATTTGAAACTTACTGGCCACACAGAAATCCTTGGTCAAACTCAGTGGATCACAAGATAAAAACAAAACACCACCACCATGAAAAAGGGAGGTCTACGGATGAGAAGCTAACAGAAGTGGAAGTTTGCAGAATGCACTATATACATGAATAAAACTGTCAAGAAAATTCAATAAAAGTTAGATCATAATGCCTCCTCAAAAGAGTCACAGAAAATTGCTCAAGGATTCATTTGAACAATGATCATCAGTATACTCAATTCTAGGGAAAGAACCACCTGAAAGAATTAATGAGAATTAATAGGATACCCAGGGCTCACATGGGCTAAGGAACAGTGCTGTTCCTATCAGCCCAGCTGGAATTAGGGAGAACACACAGAAGGACCTCGCCTCATTAGTGGGAAGTAATTCTCCTTTGATGTTACCATGGCTGTCTTCTAGCCTAACATAACTTAAAAATGAGTATGTTTCCAAGTGACTCAACTGCACTCAAGAAAAAGCTCAAGACTATTTGTAGGGATACAAAACCACACAGCATCAAATGAGATAAAAATGTACAGTGTCTGATATTCGATCAGAAACTGCCAGGCATGAGAGCAAACTGGAAGCATGAGACAATAAGGGATAAAATAATCAGCTAAACTGTTCAGAGCTTACAGATATTAGAAGTAGTGTATGAGGACGGTAGGGGAAAAAAGAAAAACATAAGTTAGAAGTCTATTCCCTGTGCTACAATCAGAATGGCAGAAACAAAAGGCTCAACTCAAAGTGACAGAGGTCAGAACTCAGTCTGGGGTGAAAAACACAGAATAGGGAAAAGAGCGAACTCGGTCATACAAGGAAGTCATTAGTAAACCAAACAACAGATCCTTTTGTAGCTAGAGTTTTCCTGCCTGGCCCACAGTCAGGACAAATCTTTGTCACCTGCCAGTCCCACAGCCGCTCAGACCCAACCAAGTAAACACAGAGACTTATATTGCTTACAAACTGTATGGCTGTGGCAGGCTTCTTGCTAACTGTTCTTTCTTATAGCTTAAATTAATCCATTTCCATAAATCTATACCTTGCCACGTGGCTTGTGGCTTACCGGCATCTTCACATGCTGCTTGTCCTGGTGGCGGCTGGCAGTGTCTCTGACTCAGACTTTCACTTCCCAGAATTCTTCTCCTCCTTGTCCCGCCTATACTTCCTCCTGCCTGACTACTAGCCAATCAGTGTTTTATTTACTAACCAATCAGAGCAACATATTTGCCATACAGAACATCCCACAACATCCTACCCTGTTTATTTATTTGAAATAAAACCCAGGGGCAGAAAAGAAAGATGCAGAGTGTCAGTGACTCGTGAGACTAGAAGCTACTGAGTATGTCAAATGAAGTCCCCAGAAAAGGCAGAAGAAAGCCAGAAAGAATCATGAGTAGATAATGTTTGAAGGGTTTCCAGATTCGAGGAAAATTATAATATTTTGCTTAAGTAGTATGCTGCATTCGAGTCCCTTCCATCTCTAAAATTCTACATTTTAGATTGTTTTCTCTATCAAGGGTTGCAATCCCCTCCAAAGACTTTCTTCTGTGACCGCCAAAACCTGCTTAACAAAGATTGGATTAAAAAGGGATGCATTTTTAATGGGTGCAGCAGGCATTCTGTAGATGTTAAAGATACATGGTTTTCACTGATGTCGCTGGGTTTGAACATCTGAACAAATTCTGTTTAGAAGTTTCCAGCATATATGCACAAAGCTGCTTGATCTCTCACGCTTCATGGAGCTGATTCAAACTGATGGCTCCTATAAAACGAAGATGAGCTCTGAATTCCGCTAAAGTATGTGCCAGCTTACAACCAGTGGGGACATGGAGCTAATGTTAATCCCATCAGCTCCCAACTAATCAAACAGGTTTATATTCTAAGTGGTATGTCAGACATTTGATGTTGAGGGGCTTGGGTTATGTGCAGTTTGGGAGAACATGAAAAGTGTATCAATTAAGAGACGCCAACAAGATCATTCTTAGGTATTTAAAATACATAGGTGGGTCCATTGGACATTGCTGGACAAAAAAGCCTCCATAACCACTTAACCTGCCCCTAAACAATACAATTTTATACCTTAATTTTTATACATTTTAAATCACAATGAAATGAAAACTAACAATCTATGTGCTAGTATCTGTATATGTTTATAAAATAATGTTTTATGTATTTTAGACATGGAAACGCTCTTATGGCTTTCTGGATTGAATCGAACACCTCTGAATTTACTTAACTTTTTCAGAAGAGAGACAGAACTGTAAGACAGAGCTCGATATTACTGAAAAAGTAAACTAGTGGCAGTAAATGTCAAAATTCCTCTTCATATGGCATCTCTAATTATAAATTGACACTACTGAAGCATTGACAGCTTCCATGATATTGCAAGCATCCTCAGGCTCTTGCAGCTGCAGCCTAATCTCTACCCTCTCTCCTCCATTTGTTTTTCCTTCCTGACATTTGATTAGTCAACAGTGCTAGCTAGCGCTGGTGTTCCCCCGAGCCACCCTCCAGTTCAAAATCCAGAGCGCTTCACGCTGCCCTGGAAGTGGGTAGGGAGAGCGGCCTTGGCTTTCAGAGTGAGATCTGCATTTATCAATCACACCGCAGCTGCTTGGGAACTGGCCTTTGCAGAGGTGAAGTTGGTCTGCTCCCTGGGAAAAAAGGAAAGCCGTTTGCGATGAAAATGGAGGCGAAACAATTTAGGCAGCTGGCAAGGCTTCTGAGAACTGGAAAGATTGGATTTCCAGGGCTTGCACAATGCAGCAGAGATGGTTTAAATCTGTGAGAAGCAGACAGGAGAACAGCTTCAGGTCAGTTTAAAAATGGAATCTGGGGAGCTCTTCTGCAGAGAAAATCACACAGGCTGAATCATACTGGGGGAGTGAATAGGGAAAAGCCTGGTTCTGGGGGCCTCGTTTAAAGAGAAATAAAGACAGTAAAGACGACTCAGCCTCTAGCACAGCTTCAATTAAAGCCTGTGTGGATATATGCACGGCTGGCGGGAACCTCTGCAGGAACCAATAACTCGTCCCACCCTTCCATCGAGTTCCTTCCGCTGTGTCATCGTGCCTCTCTGAACCTCCCCTGTGAAATCCTCTCCCACAGTGGCCTCTGAAGAATCAGCACCATAGCATCTCTGAGGAGCTGATCAGAAATGCAGAATCACTGCTGCCACTCGGATGAACTGAAGTGGCACCATTCTCCCTAGACATGTGTATGACTCTAGGGCACATTAAAGTTTGAGATGCACCGCGTTACAACAGACAGTGCTCTGTCTGCAAGAGAGAGCGAGAGCAAGAGACTTTACTTTTGCATTTCGCAGCAACGGCATATAGATTAGGAGTAACCATCATGTTTTATTCTCTCTGCAAATACTCATTTAGCACAGTAAGTAATTACTTCACAGGCCCTGGGACCGAGGGTTTTTGCTATCATGTATTAGACTCTGTTCTGTCTTACTGTGTGAACTGCTAAGCTCATCACATTATACAAACATTGTTCCAGCCCCGAAGGAGACTACAGACATATTAGGAAATGGTTAATTTAAAAAAAAAAAAGTTAGTCATGATGTCAAAAACATGTTTTTAGCACTGAGGTCCCATGAGAAATGAGTAGTGGATGTATGTAGGAAGGTCAAAAGCAAGCAACGGGAACGCTTCTGCAAAGCTGATCATCTTGAGCTGAGTCTTAGCAAGAAAAGACCTTTTTTTTTTTTTTTTTTTTCATGTTGGACTTGGGGCCTTGTTGGGAGGGTGATGGGAGAGGTAGAAAGGAAGGAGTATAAAGCAGAAGGACCAGCTTCAACTAAAGCCCGAGGGCAGGAGACAGGGTGACCTGTCCAGATAGTCTAAAGTAGTTCCAGATGGCCGGGTTTAGGTTTCGAGGCTGGTGGATTAGGGTCTGGTGGTCAGTGGTGAGGATGGGGAGCTCGGCACGAGCCAGGTATTGAGATTTTCTAGACCAAACACTTTGGGATGATTCCTATGGAGCAATAAAAGTAAGTTGGGAAGAGTTCTAAGTAGGGCAATAACCGGATCCTGTTTGTGCTTTAGAAACATCACACTGGAGAATGTTTGGGGAATGGTGACTAGCCAATTTGGCTCAAGTATCAAGTACACGGAGAGAAGCGATGGTGTCTGGAAATGTAGCTTTGGATACAGATCACAGAGGATGCTGGCTTCCATGTTGTGTGCTTAGTAGGCAGTGGGGAGTAGGAGGATGCTCTTCACTGAGAAGAGGCTGAAGGCAGAAGGCCAGTTAGAAGGTTACTGCAATCATTTAGGCAAGGGGTAATAGAACCTGATGACTCCAAGAATAGAAATTAAGGGCTAGATTCAAGAAGCAGGTGCATAATTATAAGCACAGTTTCATTGCTCATTTTAGGGTGGCAAATTTTATACACAAATCAGATCTTTATAAATGCCTCTATTTTCACATCCCAATATAGCCTCACCTCTGCACCAACCACTAGGTGAGACACTCCTAAGGTTTGGTGGGTCCCCAAGGAAAAATGTTTCCGTTGTCCTAACTGCAAGTCCATACCTCAATTCTAGGTGGGCACCCAAAACCAAAATGGAAGCCTTGTAATAGAATCGATCTCTTCTTTTGGCTGCTTTCCAACCTTGATTATTTGTCTAGGGAAGCATGCTATCATTATTGTTTGTCTTTATTAACCTCTAAGATAGCACCCTCCCTTTCCTCACCCCAGCCCTCTCCACTCTCATTTGTTGCCTTCCCTTGTTAGAATCACTGACTTCTTGGTGGCATAGAGACATCAAAGCCCTATTTTAGTTCTTTGGCATGGTATGATGGGTACCACTACCAATCAGTCACACCTACCTCAATTGGTGCCAGACTAGCTTTTATGTGATTTGAAGCTATGGCGATTTATTGCAGGTGCCATTTCTAGAATTTCTTTAGAAAGCTTTTCCAAGTGTTTCAGTTACACATTACAGAATATTTATAATTCTGGGTCAAGCATCATGCTTGGCTTGACTTCCGAAATAGAGAATTCTAAGTGGCTATTTTCTCCTCTAAAGAAAAAAATGTTCTTGAAAAAGATAGGAAGTAGCACTGTATATGTGTTTCCTGTACATCAATTTGCACCATGTGACCAATTGCCTTCTGTTGCTGGATGACTGTATTCTTTCTAATTCAAGATTCAACAGGCCTAGGGAGCGATTGGAAACAGCCACGCTGCAGTCTTAACATTTGGAAAAACCTATTGTTATCTGAGCTTTTTCTTTTCGTAAAGGTACTTAGCCAGAATAGAAGCTGCCCACACAATACTTGATGAAAACCATGCTTGATCAATAGTGTTCGAATCTCCACCATTTCTGAATGAAGCAGGGCAAGCATTAAGGTATGTGTGCACACATTTACATAAAAGATATAATAAACACATTCAGATTTTCATACCCATTTAAGTATGTATTACCAAAATATTATACCTTGGCAAAAAGATAAACTCTCGGTATCCAGATATTTTCCTCTCCAGATGGACTTTATTATTGTGTTAAAGATAACAATATTGTTGATTTATGAAGGACCTTTATCTGTTCTCCTACCTGTATAAGAAATTGGAGTGGGCTTATTTTATGGGCTTTATAAGTCACAATCTTTTTCTCTTCATGTGTAGACTGATGATGTAAATTGTACCATAAGAGTGGTCATTCATGCAAATTTGGAGATGAAATGAAGTTACCAATACATTATCTTTTTTTATGACAGATCATTCTTCTCTCACCATGAGTCTCATAACCCAGAGAACTCTATAATAAAGATGTCTCAAAGATTCTCTCCATTCCCCCAACTCATACTATGGGATGTTTCTAGACAGTTTCACTCAGTTCTCACAGTGATTTTGTAATTTTGTTGTTCATAGGTCAATCCTGTTAGAGCTGTCTAGCAAACATAAACTTATTTGACTTTTGAGAGTTTTAATTGTATTTCCTTTTTGCTGCTATAATTCTTCTTCTTCCTGGTTTTGATAGTTTCTAAAAGTTATTTCTTGGGGGTAGCTCTTCAAGATTTAAAAAAAAATCTGTCAGACTGCTCCACAAAATTAATTTCATTTGGAAGGAGTCAGCCTGTGAGTGTTGGGAATGATGGCTTTGCTTCTTAATCTGAGACCTCCTTTGCAGACTCTTGAATTTTTGTTTTCAGAACCTTGCTTTGACCCTGACCCTGGCTCTGGACAGTTAACCTGGATCTGGCTCCCACTTTATGGAACATTTTTTATTTCTGCTGCCACCCAGAAAATGAGTCTCTGGATCAGTCTCTGAGTCCTTAGGCCCAGACTTGATTTCTATTTTAGGAACGCTGAAACGTGAACCTGTTTGTAAAGCTTGCCGTATCTTTTAGTGTTTAGTCTTCCTCCTGGTGTCTCATTGCTATGCATTATACATAATGGGGTCAACTTGCATCTTCATTTTAGAGTCAGAAGCTAACTGAAAAAAAAAAAGACTTATCAGTTTGCCCCAAATTCCAAACCTAGTCAATAGTATAAGCTGGGCCCTGGTTCAAGACTTTTCATTTAGTTCTGAAAATCAACCTTTATTTCATATTTAGAGAGCTGCTCTCAATGAATCATTGCCCAATGGTGGTAAAGCAAGGATATACGAGATTTAGAGTCAAAGAAGCCTTACTCTATCTAGTCCCAGATCTGTTAGTTACCAGCTCATCTTGCCTTCAGTTTGCTTGCTGTACAATGCTCTGCAGAGTTGCCACGAGCTTAATGCACTTGAGAAATAAAAATAAAATGCATTATACAAATGTAGATGTCTCAGTTGCTAAACAAATTGTCTTTTTAAGATCTGAAAAATATGTGTTAATTTCCAAGAAATAACAAGACACAGATAAACATGAAGAAGAAAAATTCCTTGAAACATAATCTAATAGTGTATTCTACATTTTATTTCACCACATTATTTTTGAAAATTGCAACTGATGCATATGTATGTATGTATGTAATCAACCAATCAGTTAAGAAATGGCATTGATACAAAATTGGGGGAAATAAGCATCAGGTTGTTTGCTAAGTACAGTCCTGGCTGCTCATCTCTGTTTGCTGTGCTCTCCTTCCCTCTCTCTCCCCTGCCTTTCTTCTCTTCCCCCACTTTCCTTTCCTCCCTCCCTCCCTTCCTTCTTTCATCCTTCCCTTCTTTCCAGACAGAGTCTCACTTCCCAGCCAAGGCCTGAAACTCTCCATTCTCCTGCCTCAGCCTCTGAGTGCTAGGATTATGGCCCCGCACCATCACTCCCTGTTGCCACAGTCTCTGTGTTTAGAACTAAAAAACAGACCCTCCCTTCAGAGCAGTGGTTCTCAACCTGTGGGTCGAGACCCCTTCGGCAAACCTCTTTCTCCAAAAAAAATGTTTACATTGTGATTCATAACAGTAGAAAAATTACAATGATGAAGAAGCAATCAAATAATTTTATGGTTGGTGGTCACCACAATGTGAAGAACTGTGTCAAAGGGTCACAACATTAGGAAGGTTGAGAACCACTGCTGTAGAGAAACTCTTTCAACACATTATTTGAAATTGAATCTCTAGAATCGAACTGTTGCCAAACTACAGGATCTGCACTCACTACTGGAAAAGAAATACGTTACAAGATGCCATGTAGCTCACAGAACCTTGAGAGGGCTAGAGAACCAAACTGGGTGTCACAACCAGATACGCGGCACCAAGAATTAAAACCAGTGGAAGAAAGGTCTACACCTCACATTCTGGAAGAACTACCCATGTTTTCATCTCTGAGGATCCATACTTATACCTAGGCAGGTCCTACCATTGCCCTCAATTTACAGATGAGGAACCTGAGTCCTAGGTAGATTATGTTATTTTATTAATAATAAAGTTAGTAGAGCAGGAAGCAAGATCTCAACTCGTGTATTCTGTTCCGATATTTACCTTTTCAACCATGAGTAATTTCATAATTACTTCCCTGCACGATTCTCCCTAAAAGAATGTGAGCTACTAGGAATCAGGGTTCTTCCTGAATCAAGTAAATTTCGTTATCAGATACTAAATCACTCATTTATCAATCCAAAACTCTGTGACAGAGATTTTTCTATGGACCTGGGAATATTATGGTCCATCTTACACACTGTTCCTGTCTCACGGAGACTAGTGTGTAGCGGCAAAGAGTCATTGGGTAAAAGATTATGCATTAATTAAACACAACTTGAAAGCTGCTTGGAAGTAAGAGCACCTTGAAGTGGGAAAATTAAGCTACTTTTGGAGGACAGGCACAGACACCTCTTAGGTAGTCAGCTTAAGTCACAGAGACAATCCCATAAGACAAGTGTCGCCTCTCTAAGGACTGAGTCTGGATAGACTATTGCAGATCCATGAGACGGACAGAATGTGAGGCCGTCTCAAGGTTGAATGAAGGCCAGAGAATGGAAAGGAAGCCAGTGGGGCTGGATCGTGGACAGGAAAGAGAAGACTGGCTTGGGGTGAGGCTAAGGTAGAGACAAGTGTCTGTGAAGGAATAAATGTGAGTATGCCTCCAGGGGAGGAAGCTGGGACTCTTTACACTGAGTCTATGATTCCAAAACAGCCAGCAGAAAGGCAGCTTTAGAACAGAAAAAGTGGGGGCAGTGTGGTAAGCTTTTCTAAACTCACCTTGGTATGAGAGTCTACATGAACACCTCAGGAAAAAAAAAAATCAGCGTTGTGAATGTTGTAGATGTTCTACAAGGAAAAAAGTTAAAAAGTGTTCAAGTAACCAAATAATTGGGCATAATGAAAACAAAACACATGGATCCTATCTTTTCTCTTTACATTGCCTTTGAGTTAATATTTTGTCCGGATGAACAAACACCTTGAGAATTTTACCTAGAGCTACTTTAAAATAAATGGAACATGCACAAAATCCTTGAGTTAAGTAGACTCCAATTAGTGGGAAGGGGTTCAGGAGCCTACACTGCTAACTGAGGCGATGTGGAAAGTTGGCGGCTTCTGGGGGAGGGCGAGCTGCTTTTCTTCAAAAGGGTGGCTCCTAGTTGGTTGACCATGTTTCAGTGCCACAGTCAATGGTATATGGGCAGCACAAATCAGAGCAGAAGAATTATTCATTTTTCTTTTCAAGACAGGGTTTCTCTGTGACTCTTTAGTGCCTATTCTGGATCTCGCTCTATAGACCAGGCTGGCCTTGTACTCACAGAGATCTGCCTGGCTCTGCCTCCCGAGTGCTGGGATTAAAGGCATGTGCCACCACCACCCGACTGAATTATTAAATTTTTAAAAAGTGGATAGGGTAGATCTAGAAGGGCGACATTCTCAAAGACTTAATAAAATATTTAAAAAATTAAAACGCTCCCATTCGTTTTTAACATATTTTAAATCAAACAAAAAAATCAATGTGCCCTATTTTTGTCAAAAGAAAATTATAATTATTTTCCATTTACTTAAGGGAGAAATAATACCCCAAATTACTCAACCAATATCTAATACATCTTTTCAAATCTTCCAAAGATTTGGATTATTATATATTTCAAAGTGACAGTTACAAACATTAACTTACATTTGTATCTTCTAAGGCTGCTACCAAAACACTCAACCATTCAAACACATTAAAGATAAGCAGGAACCACATATAATGGAAAAGAGAATAGACTCAGGATTTCATAGTTAATGGTTTTAGAAACCGGTGGCTTATTTCTCTATTATTTGAGGTCTGTTTTCACAGACATGTACTATGACCGCAGACACTGTGCTCGACATTCAGGTAATAGCTCTGATGTCACTGCTGTTATTTCCTCTGAGTGTTTCACAGGTCAGTAGACTAAGCCAAAGGCCCCAGTGTAAGGCTAGTTCCTTTGTCTGTCTCCCATATCGCACTGCCCTGCTCTCCTTGGGGACTTAACTAATACCCACAACCTTTTCCTCTTATCTAGTTCTTGTCCTCATCAAATACTCACTCTCGGTCCTCTTATAGTCAAGACAATCAATAATAAAACAATCCTTCCAATGTATCTCCTCCTACATAGAATTCTTTCTTTCTTATTACCTAAGCTATTGTTGTTTATTGGCAGGATGGCTCAGTAGGTGAAGGTGTTGACTACCAAGATTGATGACCTGCGTTCAGTCTTGAGAGCCACACAGTGAAAGGACAGAACTAGAGAATTGACTCTCAAGTGTCCCTTGGCATGTGAAGGTATGAGTGCCCCTCCCTTTAGAATATGAATAGTTTTTGAAAATATTTAATTAAAAACTATTGTCTAATATTGTTTATTATTTAACTACTGTCTTTACCCCCAGGATTTTTAGAGCTGTTAGCATTTGCTGGCCCCTATTTCTCGCCTTCTATTGACTTCACTCCATCTTCTGTTCTTACCCTTCAATGAAATCATCACCTGTGCCCTCGCAGATGCTATATGAAATAGCAGGCTGGGTTGACCCCTCAGCAGCATTTATAGCATTAATTAGAAACCAGGAGTGTGTGGTACTACAGGGAGGAGCAAGGCAAGTTCCCAGGATCAAACATGGAAAGGTATGTCCCTAACACTCATTCTGTTATGTAAACAAATACATTTGCATTACACCAAGCCACTGAGGTTTATGAATTGCTACAGCACCTGGCATTATTTACCCCAAACAAGCACGTAAACCTTATTAGGTTTCCTTGAGTAGTCTCCAAAGCTACTCCTCTTCTGTGTACTCTACACTTTGGCCACCTACAAAAATTACTCTGTGTGCACGCGTGTCTGCACGCATGTATGGTATTGCCCAGGCCAGTATTAATTCCTTTCTTCCTTTGTTAACATGCTTCTTTAGTCTCATTTGTGGTCCCTGAGACAGTTTCCCTGCCCCTGCCCAATGTATTTCCTATGCCCCAGTGTCCAGAACTCATGCCACCGGATTGTAATAACTTTTGTCCCGTAATGAACATTCAGACTCAAGGTATTTGTACTAGTTTTTCTCATTGCCTGGTGTTACAGCTGATACATGATAAGAGAGTCTTCGTTTGGGGGATATACGAATTCTAAGAATTATAGGTATGTTGTATTAAAATGAGGCTAAAGTGGTACATGCTAGATCCTTATCAAAAAAAAATCTTGTAATAACATTAGGTTCTGACAAAGGAGAACACATTTACAGCCATATGTGTTAATTTAACTAAAGTTAAACCCTAACTATTAAAGACTTATAGCTTGCTTAAAAAATAATCTCTTGCTACCACTGGTTTTAAAGATTGCATCTGAAAAACAACCACATAAAGCCAAATATACCCTTTATCTTATTTCCTTAGAGGTGATTTTCCATCCACAATAAATTTTTCTTGCAAATAATATCTGCATGTGATCATACATTTTATATTTGAGATGTATTACTGTTTTAATTGGCTATAAGCAATGAGAGAGAGATTTATCCAGTCTGCTGTGGAAGTGCTAACAGGATTTTAAAAAAACAGCTAAGAACACTAATTTTGTTGTCAATTTTATAACCTTATAATTATCTCGTAAATAGGCAGCATTTTTCTCATGGTAATCACTGAAGTTTTCAAATGGCTTAAAAAGAAGAAAAGCATTTAAGCTAATTTTTTAGAACAGATGAAATTATTTATTTTGACATTTGTTGACTGTGGTTATGGACCATGTCCTTTCCAATTCTGAAAATGACAACCTGGAAAGTGTAGTGTTTAGAACACTAAATTCTAACAACTGGAAAATTGACTCAAGCAGAACCAATTTGGGGACTCAGCTAAGATGATCCTAATTCATCTTCTTGCAAAGGGGCTTGGCAGTGCCGCTGGCCAGGGTGTTGGCACATTCGTATTGTGCCAATCACTCAGTAGAGGAGTCTGAATAGTCAGTGAACACGAACCAGGGAAACAGTTCCTTTCTCTGGTCCCTGCCAAGAGGAACCGTCAATAACAAGAGGAGAACCAGGGCGCTGCTGCCAGGCAGTCATCCTATAAGGAGGACAGGAGAGTTTAGGAAATAGGTTGGAATCCACGTGACAGTGTAGAGGCGCATGAAAAATAATGTTCATATAGTTGATGAGATAGAGGTTCCAGATGCTAACTATAGATGAAGAGGACGGGAGACTATAAAGGTTCTAAGCTGGGTCACAGAGAACCACACAACTTGAAGGATAAAAAGAGTTTTAGAGAGGGATCCTTTCAGTTCAAACCTTTCATCTTCGAGAGGAGGAATTGACCTTTACGAAGGTTAAAGCAGCTGACTTGGGGTGCACAGAGAGTTAGGGAGAATAGTGACTGTGGGTGGAGATGGGGAAGACCACTGAGGACGGCCAGGAAGTGGGTCACTTTTCACTTTGATTCAGAAACGCAAATCCTTTAAAAGGGTATGTAGACCGTTTAAAAAAATAGCTGGCATCACCTACAGAGCTGAACCCAGTTCTGGGGTTGGTACCCAGGCTAGGCCAGACAACATGCTCTTTTTAAAATGTCGTCGTCGTGCATAAAATTAGTTCATATTCACTTTTAAATCTCTTTGCACCTGTCTAATTGTTTCTGGGCATAAATATCCTAGGAGTTACAAAAGGTTTGCATAATTGGGCTGTTGACATTTTTTAAAAAATATTTATTTTTATTGAAAATAGATTTTTTTATACAGTATATTCTGATTACAGTTTCCCTTTATCTGGGCTCTTGTTATTTTTAGGATCATTCGTAGATTCCATATGTTACAAAACTCGATTTTAATTTTCCTTCTAAGGTATTCAGTTTATTATTATTCCCATTGCTATGTTTGCTTCAATATAATCTCTACAGTCTTGCTTAGGATATCATAAATTACATCAGTAATTTACAACTTTAGCTCTACATTTTCATACACACACACACACACACAGAGAGAGAGAGAGAGAGAGAGAGAGAGAGAGAGAGAGAAACCTCACTTATCTACATAGTCATAAGCTACAGAAGTGTATTCCTTAAGCAGTTAGGTATGAAATATATGAGATGTTTGGAGATCATAAGGTGTTATGAAGGAATCATAAATGCGCAAAAGCCAACATGATAAGCTAGATATAAAGAAATCAGAGGCAGTGTAAGAAGTCAGTAACTCCAAAGATATGTTCTTCTACATGGAAACCCAAAGGCCAAACACCCTACAACAACAACAACAACAAGAAGTTATTTTTTTTTAACTCTGAAAAAAAAAATCAAAGGTTTATAGTAACCAAATTCAATCATGAAAAATGGGGTTGAGACATAGTAGGAGAGATTTGGGAATTTTCATTTCATGTCATTTATCTCCTTCATTCCTGCTCAAAAAAATGGTCCCGAGAAAGAAGCTGGTTTTGCTCACACAGAATTATGGTTGCCTGCTTTGGGTGTCTGCCAGCAGGTTCCTCACAAAGCCCCACCAAAGCTCTTACCTTCATTTTGCCTCATCCAGAACTGTCTCAGGGCACAGAAGTAACACAAGGGAGTTTCTGTAAAAAAACTATACTTAGAGGAGGGTAGGTGTGTAGGTACAGGCCTGTGATTTCAGCACTTGTGAGACTAAGACAGGAGGGTCACAAGTTCAAGTCCAGTCTGGGCTACAAAGAATTTATTTTTTTAAAAAAGGAAAGGAAAATAACAGCACATATAATTGGGGAAAATAACAAACTGAAACACCTGAGATGGAAGCCTAGGGAGGGAGACACTCAGGGGAAAGGGTGCTGTGAAAAGTTCAGTTTCTAGTTACCTAAATGGCTACACCTATGCACAGGGCATATGACCAGAAATGCCCAGCAAAGATGGTAAACACTCCCTCCCTATTGACTTCAGACTGTGCCAACAGAAACTAAAGCCAAAGGCTGAGCTGGGAACTCCTGTCCAGATCAACCAGTGCCTTCCCTCATGCACAGAGTGCCCAGCTGCAAATGCCAGGGGAATTTGTGTTCTCTGCCACATTGATGCAGCTTCCGTCAGATCACTACCTGATTACAAGAGCAGAAGAGATTCCAGTGGCCACACGTGGCAAATAACAACTGCTTAGAAAATAGCTTGTAAAAGTCACTTGGAACAGCTACAGCCCCACATAAACACCAGAAGTAAAATCCCACCATAGCACATGCGTGTATGCCATGGACACATAATAATATATAAAGCTAAACTTTAAAAATGCCAAGTTTAAATAGTTACTAGGCATCCAAAGATACAAGAAAATATACTTATTCATAAGGGGAAAAAAGAATAAAACCAGTTGTTAGGGAATTTTAAACACTGGACTCACTAGAAGAATAAGTTAAAACATAAAATCATTAAAATTAAAAATACAGGTAGCTACAACAGACCAGTGTTGTTGATTTTAGCTTGTAACTTCTCTTCCTTCCCCACATCATTGAAGAAAAATTCACAAAACAATAATTATAAACCTATATTAGATGTACAGGGACATAATTTGGGACAACACCACAGAGTGATAAACTTACACGGAATCTTTACACTATTAAAGCTGGTTGGGACGAATTCAAACTAGTTTCCTTATAAATATAAACATGAATAGTAATTGCCATGGTAATTACTTTAAGAAAACAGGTAAAAAAAATGGAACAAAAATAAACAGGAAGAAAATTTAAATGGATTGCAAAACTGAAATTAATGTGATTATAAGGAAACATATGTAAAAATATAATAGAGGAAGTATTATGAAACAAAAGTTATGACACAGAAAACCAAGAGCAAAATAAGCCCCTTCCTCATCAGCATTATCTATAAATACATTATACTCTTCAATTAAAAGAGAGAGATTTGTAAAATAGTTTTTAAAGAGATCCAATTATATGCTGTCTACCTAAGCCCAACTTCAAATCTAAATACATTTATGAGTTTAAAGGGTGGAAAAAGATAAACAGCAACCAAGATTTGGGATGGCTCCACTCATATCAGATGAAATATAGTAAGTTAAAATTTGTTAAAACCAAAAAACATTGTATATTGCTAAAAGAGTCCATCTATCAAGGCATGACAATTATAAACATACATACAACCAACAGTGAGATTCCAAAATGTATGAAGCAAAATTAAAAGTCAAGCCTGTGATAGTTAGTTTTGTTAATGACACAATCTGGAACCATCTAGAAAGAGAATCTCAAGCCGGAATTACCTACTTGAGGTTGGTGTTTAGCATGCTTGTGTGGGGCTGTCTTGATTACATCCACTGAGGCTGGAAAACCCACTGTGGGTGGCACCATTCC